ATCTAATATTATTTAATGCTACACAGTACCTGATAACATTAGAGCTTGAACAGTAATATTTATCTCAGTCCAGTGGTACAGGTTCTAATGTGTTCCCTCCCTTCAGGCCTACATGAAAGGCAGGTGCTGCCCTGAATTATCTAAGGTAGAATCTATGCTAACCCCTGTGGGCCTTGGGGCCAGTTGGGTTTTGTCCCCTTCTCCATCTCTGCTCTCAGTCCCCTCCCCCACCTGCCAGAGCCAACTGGCTGCTCCTCCCCATCAGCTCAGGCTTTTGACACTAATTGATACGGAGTTCCCCCCTCTAATCCTGCCTCTGCCTCCAGGCCTTGTTCTGAGGGCATCTGCTCTGTGAGGGGAGGAGGAAACAGGACCCACCACCACTCTCCTGTCTGCCATCTGGTCCCCGTCCCCTCCCACCCCTCAGCACCATCAAGAGAGATCTGTAAAGAACCTGTGCCCACTCCCACCCCCCTACCCAAGAGGGTGGAGTGAGGCTGAGCCCACTGTGACCCGAGGCATGCATGCACATACACGTGTACACACAGATGCACGTACACATAAGCACACACTCACACACACAAGCGAACATGCACTTGCACACTCACAGACTGTAGACGTAATTATTAGCAAAGCTTTTGTGTGTTGCTCCAGGGGGCACTGCAGCTGCACGGCTGCTGCTGTGAGGATGCAGAAGCAAGATGCTAACTGAAAAGAGACTTAATTATCCCACATATCCACAGCACCCTAGGCAGCCCACAGAGACTGGCCAAGATGGGTAGCAGGGCAGTGGACAGGGTGGAGAAAATCAACCAAATCAAACTGGAGGATCTATAGACTAGAAAAGGATGGGATTCAGGCTAGACAGAGATGGGAGGATGACAGAGATACACAGGCTCCCAGCCTCAAAAGATCCAAGCCTCACAATTACCAGGCTGAAGAAAGATTTGGAAGCGTTCCATTTCTTCTCCCCTCCTGAGTCAGGATGCCCTGCCTAACTTTCTGTCCTAAAAGAGTCACTTTGTCAAGAGCAAGATTTAGAACTTTGCCACCTGGCTTCTAATTGGGCTGCTCCTCTTGCTTGCTGTTGACTCTGGGCCCACACCTCACTTCTCTGAGCCTTGAGATTCCTCTGGGTGAGATGGGGATGACAGAGATGCCTACTTACAGGGTTGTTGAATCAGATGACTCGTGGTAAAGGCATGTGTTTGCTGAGTGCAGGCTATATACCAGGTACTGTAGCAGAGGGAGGAGCACACAACACAGGTGGGTGGAGTACAGACACCAGACTAATAGCGGAAGTTGTAAGTAGGCCCAAGTATCAGCTGCTCCCAGCATCTTTTGCAGTTTCCCTTCCACCCTCCTGAGAACACATTTTACCCTTTCTGTCTTAATTCTGGAACTGATTTTTTTTTGTCACTGATCTCACCACAGGTTCTAATAGTTCCACAAGTCTGCCAGTGGGCAACTATTTTCTCTGTGTAGAGACAGCTTCAAGGTGCTCCAGAAAGACTTTCTGAGATGAATTGTTCTGACCCTTATGTATATTAAATGGTCATGGGGAAAAAAGACCAGCCCTTACCTGGAGGTCAAGGAGGACCTTGTTCACTTCAAAAGTACATCCTTGCCCCATCAGGACTTATTTTACACCATTCATTTTTAACTCTCCAGATTGGCTAAAATCAGAGACTGATAGATAGCACTGTATTTAAGGAAGCGTGGAAACACCCATACATCCCTGGTAGAGTATAGACTGGCATAGCATTTCGGGAAGGCATTATTGCTACTTTTGTCAAGATTGAAAAATAAAATTTGCCTACCTCATAACTGGTTCTGGATGTCAATTCCAGAGGAAATGGGGTGAGTACAAAATCATTCCTCCAGGCTGTATTTGTGG